TCCATCCTCCTCTCCATCCTTCTCCCCCCTCCCCCCCCCTCCCTCTCTCTCATCTGTTCAAAAATCCGACCGCAGTTTTCCTCCTTCGCGCGAAAACGAGATTGGCTCGGCTTGTTTGAACAGCCGGCGAGGGCAAGACGGCGGTTGAACAGGCTTGACTTGACTTGACTTGAACCTATGGACAAGAGCTTCTGTTTTGAGATCTCGCATTCTGAAGACGCCCGTTGTTGACGGCGTGGAAGAGACCTCAAGTGTGTTCGCTGCCGGTGAAAGGGGGGGGGGGGGGGGTTCAGATGGATGGGAGGTGGGGGGGGGAGGTGTTGGAGGGGGGGGGCAGTTTGGGAGTGTGTTGGATTGATTGTCTGTCTGTCTTTTGGTAGGTTTGTCTGTGTTGTGTTCTATCGCTCGGTTGTCCTCTCGCGTTATGTGCGACAGCTGGTGGGTAGAGCGTATTTAGCAGCCTTTGTGCACACGATCGCATATTTGCACACACTCGCATGCACGCATACGCACACACGCACACACGTACACGCACACGCACACGCACATGCACATGCACATGCACACGCACACGCACACGTACACGCACCTACACAGACACACACACACACACCCATACACACACACACACACACACACACACACACACACACACACACACACACACACACACACACACACACACACACACACACACACACACGCTCTCTCTCTCTCTCTCTCTCTCTCTCTCTCTCTCTCTCTCTCTCTCTCTCTCTCTCTCTCTCTCTCTCTCTCTCTCTCACTCACTCACTCACAGCTGGCGTTCCTTGAAGGGACAAACATCATGACGTCACAGTTCAACCGTTACCAACTCTATCGTCTATGAGGGGGGTAGGAGGGAGGGAGGGAACTAAGGGAAAGGGTGGGTGAGGGGGGGGCAAGTAATTACCTCCCCCTCCCTTCCCCCCCTTCCTTCCCCCTCCCTCTAGGACTATCGAGAGGCCAAAACGGAACAGCTATAAATCTCATCGTAAAGTAGATAATATTACGTGTGTGCGTGCGCGCCCCTTAGGCCGGAGGTGATGAATGGGAGGAGGTGCTAGTGCTGGGGTGGGGGGGGGGGGTATTGTTGGTGTGTTGTCCCTCTGTCGATTTTTTTTTTTTTTTTTTTTTTTTTTGAAGGCGGGGTGGCTAATATTTTTTTTCTTTTATCCTTTAATGTCTCGTTAACATTTATTACTCTTTTTTTAAACCTTCGCTTCGCTTTCTTTCATCATCTCTTCCTAATTTTCCTCTCTCGGCTTTTTCCCTCCGTTATTTTTTTTCTGCTCTACTTCCGTCTCTTCTGTTTCTCCTCTTTTCCTTCCACCTCTCTTTTTTTGTCTTTCTCTTCCTCTTCCTCCTCCAACATTTCCATTCCTCCTCCCTCTCTTCTTCTATTTTCTTATCCCCTTTTGCATTTTTCTGGTCTCAGTTCCATTCCCTTTTCTCCTCCTCCTCCTCCTCCTCCTCTCTGCCCTCCTCTTTAATTCTCCTTTTCTGCCTCCTCCTCTTCCTCCCTCCTTCTTCATACTTATTCTCCTCCTTTTCCTTCTCCTCCCACTCCACCTCCTCATCCTTCTCCAGCAATGCCTTTATCTTTATTATTCCTTCTCCTTCCCCTCTTTCCTTCTCTTCTTTTCTCTCCTTCCCTTCCTTCCTTCTTTCACTCCTTCCTCCTTCCCTTCTTACCTCTCCTTCCCCTTCCTTTTTTCCTTCCCCGCCTTCCCCTTCCTTCTTTCTTCCCTATCATGCTCTCCTTCCTTCTTCCCCCGTCCCTTCTTTCCTCTCCTTCCTCTACCTTACCCTCCTTCCTCCTCTCCTACCTTCCCTTCCTTCCTCCTTCCCTTCCTTCCCTTCCTTCCTTCCTCCTTCCCTTCCTTCCTCCTTCCCTTCCTTCCCTTCCTTCCTTCCTCCTTCCCTTCCTTCCTCCTTCCCTTCCTTCCTCCTTCCCTTCCTTCCCTTCCTTCCTTCCTCCTTCCCTTCCTTTCCTCCTTCCCTTCCTTCCTCCTCCCCTTCCTTCCTCCCCTACCTTCCTCCTTCCCTTCCTTCCCCTCCTTCCCTACCTTCCTTCCTTCCCCTACTTTTCCCTCCTTCATCCTTCCCTTCCTCCCTCCTTCCCTTCCTTCTCCTCCCCTACCTTCCCGTCCTTCCTCCTTCCCTTCCTTCCTTCCTCCTTCCCTTCCTCCCTTCCTTCCTTCCTCCCTCCCTTCCTTCCTTCTTCCCTTCCTCCTTCCCTACCTTCCCTTCCTTCTCCTTCCTTCCTCCTCCCCTTCCTTCCCCCTGATCTCCCCGTGGCCCAAGCGAGGCACGTCTCCCCCTCGGCCTTATCTCCCTTATCTCCCTCTCGGCCTGTCTCGATCCCGTGTGCCTGATCCGGGCTCCTTATCGCTCGGCCCCCGATTGTGTGCGTGTGGTGGGGAAGGGGGTGGGGGGTGGATGGGGAGGGGGTTGTGGTAGGGTAAGGGGTTCTGTGGGTGACGTGTGTGTGTGGGGTGGGTTTTGTGGGTATATATTTTCTCTTTCTCTCTCTTTTTTTTAATTTTGTCTTTTCTTCTCTCGCACTCGTCGCGAAAGTCAGGGCAGGTTGCGAGCGAACGCGTGCGCCACTCACACTTTGACGGATATCTGAGATTTGTCGTTTGTCTTTTTTGTTTTGTTTTTGTTTTTGTTTCTTGGCTGTTGCTTTTTCTCTCAAGCTGTCTATCTTTATCCAGAGCTTTCTTTCTTTACTTGAGAGCTTTCTTTCTTTTTTTTTCCTTCTTCCTCTTTTCGTCTCGTTTTTCTTTTCCCTCCACCTCTGTCCTTGCCTCTCACAATCTCTCTCCCCTCGCCCTATCTTTCTCCCCTCTCGTCCTCCCCCCCCCATTCCCCATTCCTCCCCCCCCATCCTGACACCAAGACATGCCTCTCCCCCTCCCCTCTGCCAATCTCTCTCCCCTCGCTCTCCCCTCACGTCTCCCCCATTACCTTACCCCCCCCCCATCCTGACGCCAAGGCACTAACGGGGTATCACAGGCGTCGGGCGAGGCAGCAGCGACAGGTGTGACGCCCACTGGGAAACGGATGACGAGCGGAGGTGGGCGGGGAAGTGGGCGGGGAGGTGAGCAGGTGGGCGGCCGGATGGTAGGCGGGTTTGCGTACCGTGGGCGTGGGAATGCTGGTCGAAGGACGGTGAAGCGGGCGGGATGGATTGCTGTGTGTTACGGGTTTTACGAGAGGGGGGGGGGTGGAATTAACATGTATTGGGGGAGAAAGACGGGGAGAGAGAGGGAAGGAAAAGAATGGAGATAGAGGGAGAGAGAAAGAAAATTAACCCGACGAAAAAGGAAAAGAGAGAAAGAGAGAGAGAGAGAGAGAGAGAGAGAGAGAGAGAGAGAGAGAGAGAGAGAGAGAGAGAGAGAGAGAGAGAGAGAGAGGAGAGAGAGAGAGAAGGAGAGAGAAGGAGAGAGAGAGAGAGAGAGAGAGAAGGAGAGAGAGAGAGAGAGAAGGAGAGAGAGAGAGAGAAGGAGAGAGAGAGAGAGAAGGAGAGAGAGAGAGAGAGAGAAGGAGAGAGAGAGAGAGAGAGAGAGAGAGAGAGAGAGAGAGAGGGAGAGAGAGAAATATCATTTTATCATCAGATATGAACGAAATTTCAGCAGTCGCCAACACTGACTCATATTTACGTTATCACGATTATATAAAACCTTGACGTGAATCATTTTGAACATCCAGAAAGAACTGTTGGAATTCGTGAAGTAAAATTGAACGCACAAAAGCACGCGGGCGGAGGGGGGGGAGGGGTAAACTTCGCGGTTCTCAGGTGTTGGAGGTTCTCAATTCATTACGGGCGCTGAATATATATCTTTTTTTTTATTATTATTTCATGTAGTTGTGTGTTCTCATCAAGAATTTTCCACTGAGGATCTCGTTCCCTTTTCTACCGTGAATGAGTTTCTGTCTCCCCCTATTCCATTCCATTCCATTCCTTCCCATCCCATCCTTTCCCCTTCCCCTTCCTCTCTTCACCCTCCACATCTTCCTTTCCCTTCTCCTCTCTCCCCCTCCTCCCCTCCCCTTCCCCTCTCTTCCCCTCCTCTCCTCCCCTTCCGCTCTCTTCCTTCCCTTCCTCTCCTCCCCTCCCCTTCCTCTCTCTTCCTTCCCTTCCCCTCCTCCCCTCCTCTTCCTCTCTCTTCCTTCCCTTCCCTTCCTCCCCTCTCCTCCCCTTCCCCTCCCCTCTTCCCCCGCCCTCCCTTCATATTCACCGATTTTCTCTACTCCAACTTGTTCCTGCTTCCCTTTTCCGTGAATATCCTCTTGTGTGGTCCTTATTTATTGTTCGTATTCTTAGTCTCAATCCCTCTCCTATTTTTTTCTCCCTCCCCTTTTCCTTCCTCTTTGCAGTGATTTTAATTCCGGCTGTGTGTGTGGGGTTGTGTGTGTGTGTGGGGTTGTGTGTGTGTGTGGGGTTGTGTGTGTGTGTGTGTGTGTGTGGGGTTGTGTGTGTGTGTGTGTGTGTGTGTGTGTGTGTATGTGTATGTGTATGTATGTATATATGTATGTGTGTGTGTGTGTGTGTATGTGTATGTATGTATATATGTGTGTGTGTGTGTGTGTGTGTGTGTGTGTGTGTGTGTGTGTGCGCGCGCGCGCCATCCCCCCTCTCCCCCTTTCTCAACTATGTTTCTCCCCTCCTTTCCCGTGGTATAGAGACAATATGTTCATCACCGATGGCACCTGAGGCACACCACCGAATGCCTCTTACCCCCCCCCCTTCTTCTCACCCCCCCAGCACCCTCTCAGCTTCCCTCTCGGCTCCCTTCATTTGCCGTTCCTCGTGAGCTCTGCCGTTCGCGCTCAGGAAATGCACGGGATTTGAGCTCTGCGTCTCCGTCGGCGTCTGTGGGAGGCAGAGCAGGCTTTTTTTTTTCAAATTCGGTTTGTTCATTTATGTGGGTTTCAACTTTTCTTTTCTTTTCTTTTCTTTGCTTTTTTTCAAGGATACATTATTTCCAGGAAAAACAGAAAATGTGTCGTCGGGATCGCCTCCCTCGAAGAAGGACTTTGTTTCTTGAAAAGTGAGAAAAATACGTATTGAAGTAATCATTGAAATTTTGACATCAATAAACCAAGAAAGAAAAAAAAGAAAAAGAAAAAAGAAAAACTGAGAGAACATCGAAAGACCTCGTTTGTCCAAAGGGTCGATCAAGTGAGTTGACATCATTGATCGCACTCCTGCTCTTCCTCTTCTTTATCTCTCCCCCTTTCTCTCTCTCTCTCTCTCTCTCCTCCTCCTCTCTCTCTCTCTCTCTCTCTCTTTCTCTCTCCTCTTCTCCTCTCTCTCTCTCTCTCATTCACTCACTCACTCTCTCTCTCTCTCCTCTCTCTCTCTCTCTCTCTCTCTCTCTCTCTCTCTCTCTCTCTCTCTCTCTCTCTCTCTCTCTCTCTCTCTCTCACTCTCTCACTTCCTCGCCCTTTCACCCTCCCTTCTTCTTTCTCTAACCCTATCCCTCCCTCCCTCCCTCCCTCCCTCAGCCCCTCCCTCAGCCGTTTTCCAATCACAGCAGGAAAGCCCTGCGAGGCGCGACCCACAAAAGACTTCCCTGCGAAGGACACATCGAGTGCCACTCCAAAATCCTCTGTCGAAATTTGAGGATCTCGAGGCCAAAGAAGAGCAGGAGGAGGAGGGGGGAGGAGGAGGAGGAAGAGAAAGAAGGCGGAGTGTCGATAAGTGGAGGAGCTGGAGGGGAAAAATAGTGGTGGAGAAAGGTGGTGAGAGATACTACAGGGAAATATATTAATGTAAAGGCGATGTAAGATAGGAGAGAGATAAGAAATCGATAATAGGAAGTTGACCAAGCAAAGAAGGCATTGTTCGAAAGGAAGGAAAAGAAAGACTCGCCCCACAGGAAAAGGAGGAAAGGGAGGAAGACTTTCCCTCCCCCCACTCTCCCCTCCCAGTCTTGCATTTGCTCTCCACCCCCCCTCCGCCCCGCCCCCCTCGGCCGCTTCATGCTGTGCGCCACGTCCTCGCGGCCAAGATGTTCGTCGGTGCCATCCGCCATGCTGACACTGGAGCGAACCCTCTCGTGCCTCTCGCTTCACGTGCTCGTCGCTGCCCGCGGCTCAGGTACGTAGTGCAAGTGTGTGTGCCCCCCCACCCCCCACCCCCCTTGTTCTTCTCCCAGATGAGCTCTCCGGGATAATTTGTCTCTGTCGGTTTGTCTGTCACGTCTCTTGCACTGTCATCTACCTCTCTCTCCTTTACACGGGTTCTGTGTAAATAGTCTCTCTGTCTGTTTGTATCCATGCCGAGAGGATTAGTATGGTCTTCCTCGACTTCCCTTTCTCTTCCCTGGTAGGCTGTGGACATGCCTCTCTGTACGTGCTCACATGGGAAGCACGTCGGGGTCAGTACACGTGCAACTCTTACGGTTATCCTGCTCGTGCGAGGCTAGGCTTATGTAAAGATGTTAAACTAAAGGAAAACGTGTAATAATCGGTAACCTTGCCTTCAGCTGTAAACAGGTACGTGATCTTTATTTATTTCTTTTGGTCACTGTGTAGTCTCCCATTTCTATTAGCATATGTTATTTTAGATCAGAATGGCTTTGGGTGTCGACTTAGAGAAGAGGTAAATCATGTTATTAAAAAAAAACAAAAACAAAAAAAAACAGGGAGTGTTGTATAAAAGGTGGGAAGAGGAAGAAAAAAGAAAGAGGAAAATACTCTCATATTCTGTCGTAGTGTTTCCCTCCTCTCATCCCATCTCTCTTATCTCCCTTCTTCTTCCCCGTCTCCTCTCATAATTTCTCCCTCTTTTTCCCCCCTCATTTCTTCCATCTCTCTCTTATGATATTAACCTCCTTGCCCTCTTCATAATCCGAGCTGATAAAACCCCCATTGTTATAATCACCTCGGCCATCTAGATAGCACGTGGATTTGCATTGTAACCGGAAGGGTTGCGTCGAATTATGTAAATTGTTTGCCTTCCACCCTCTCCCCCTCTGACACCCTTGCCCCCTACCCTACCATGTCTCCCTTCCCCTTCCCCTTCCCCCCCACACTGATCCCCTCAGCCACCACCTATCCCCCGTCCCCCCCTAAAGAAAAACAAATGTTTCCTCCTCCTCCTCCTCTCGCACTCATATTCTCATTTTCGAAAAAAAATTGAAACATGGCGTAAAAGAAACTAAGCCATATGAGAAAGGGGCTTTTTGTTATAAGATTAGCTGTGACGGTGGGAGCAATGATAGTGATGTTGATGTTGATAATGATGATGACAGTGATGCCAATGATGATGGTATTAACTGTGCTGACGAAAAAGATCACAAGAAGGAGACACCGTAAATAGTATTCACGACGAAGAAAGTAATGGTAATAATAGTAATAAGAACATAAAAAACAGCTCTAATAGCAGCAATAACAATAATGATAACAACACGATAAAAACATAGTCATGGAAACACAGCAATAAAACTTGCAAAACAAGCAGACGACCTGTCCTTTTCCCTCTCAGTCGAGGACACCAACCAAACAGGCAGAGGGTTTACAGTGCCAGACACTTTGCATACGAGTGCCACTACTATGGGAGTTTGGCTCTCCGGTGCAGGATTATCCTAGATGCCACAGTGGCACCCTCTGATCGCTTGCTTACCCGAGAACACAATATTGTGATTTCATTTCGATTGTTATTGAAAGTGAACGACAGACACCCGGGGACACAGATAGACAGAGAGGCGTGTGCGCAGGTGCGCGCGCTCTCTCTCTTTTAGTCTCCATTTTTACTTGTTTATTTATTTGTTTTTCTGTTTACTTATTTGTCTTCCTCACTGTTTCTCTTCTCTCGCTGCATATATAAATATGAGAGAGAAGGGGGGGGGGAGAAAGTTAATAACTAAGAGAGAGAGAGAGAGAGAATGTTAATAAGTAAGAGAGAGAGAGAGAGAGAGAGAGAGAGAGAGAGAGAGAGAGAGAGAGAGAGAGAGAGAGAGAGAGAGAGAGAGAGAGAGAAACTAAAATCAGAACACAAGAAAGACAATGAGAAAGATAGAGGGAAAGACAGACCACATTTGCTCCTCCCATTTCATTCCCTCATCTCCCCTCCCTCATTTTTCTTTCGCTTTCTTTCTCCTCCTCATTTATCTCCCCTTTTCTCCTCCCCTCTTTTAGCCTCGAGGGTGGGGAGGAAGAGGAAGAGGAAGAGGACGAGGACTAAAGCCAGTTATGAACCCATCTGCGTAAGAGCGTGTCAATGAGGATTCAGTCTCTGCATTGTGGGGCTTAAGCCGGCTGTGGCTCGTCTGGCTTTTTCATTTGCGTGTGTGAGTCTGGCTTAGCGTGTGTGTGTGCGTGTGTGTGTGTGGGTGTGTGTGTATCTTTGTCTCTGGGTCTGTGTGGGTATGTTGTTGTTTTTGCTTTGATTGTATTTTTATGCATGGTTGTGTGTGTGTGTGTGTGTGTGTGTGTGTGTGTGTGTGTGTGTGTGTGCGCGCGCGCGCGCGTGAGTGTGCCTGTGCGCATGTGATTGCGTGCATTGTATGTTTCAGGCATATTTATGCATTTATGTATATATTGGTGACAGGTCGAGAGGAAAAACTAAACAATGAATGAAAGAAGATAGAACAAAAAAATATGATCGAAGATATAGACAGACAGACAGAGACAGAGAAAGAAAGAGAAAGAAAGAAAAGAGAGAAATGAAAAAAAAGAAAGAAGAAATAGAAAGAAAGAAAGAGAACCGAATACAGTGGTAGGCTGATGTATCACAGATGTGTCAGAATCAACATGATGCTTACTGTGCTTGACGCGTGTGAGGATGCTGAGTGAAGGGACGGGTGGGAGGATGGGGGAATAGGGGGAGGGGAGAGGGAGAGAAGAGGGGGGAAGGGGGAAGGGAGAACAAGAGGAGAGGGGGGAAGGGGTAAAGAAGAACGAGGCGTTGGGGGGGGGGGGGCGATGTGAGGAAAAAGAGGAGGAAGAAGAAGAAAATGAAGAAAAGAGGAGGAGGAGGAGAGGGGAAGGGAAAGGGAACGGGAGGTAAGAATGCTAGGGACGGAGGGGGGGAGGGGAAGAGAAAGGGGCAGCCAGAGGACGAGAGAACAAGGAATGGGAAATAGTTGGTCCATTAATCATGATTAAGGAATTGCTTGTTTTGTGAGATACTCGCCCACGCTCTTTCGTGGATGGACAAAGTGGCGTTGAAATGAGATTAAGAATATAAAAGAAATGAAAGAGAAAAGGGGGATGAGAAAAACAAAACAAAAATAAAGATAATAAAGATAAAGACTCGAATAGAAAATGATAGGGGGGGGGGGGCGGCAGAAACAAAGAAACAATGTAAAGAAACAAAGAGAGAAAAAGGGAGAGAAAGATAGAAGGATAAAAAGAGAAGAAGGAAGGACAACAAATAAACAGAAAAAAAACTAAAAAACACAAGATGAGATAGAAAATGAAGAAAAACAGAAAAAGGACGACGTTTCCTCCACGAAAGGTGCCAAAAGAACCTGGCACTGCTTGAGAGAGTGCCACGGGGAGGCACACAGGGCTCTGCATGTGAGAATAGTCTTGGAAGGAATATTGCATCTGAAGAAAATTTACATTTGGAGAAGTAGGAGGCACGGGAGGGGGAGGGGGGGAGAGGAAAGGAAGGAGAGGAAAAGATTAAGTGAGAAAGAGAATAACAGAGGCAGAGAGGTAGGCGAAATCGGGAAGTGGGAAAAGTGAATAAGTAAATTTACGAATAAAGGAACAAGAAGAGCGAGGATAAAGGTGCACCAAAGAGAGGGAAGGCTGGTTGACAGAAACAAAATAATGGCATATAAAACAAGGAAACAAATGAACAACATCGTGAGGAATTGAGTAAAGGAAGTGCAATAAAGTAAACGATAGATAGAAATGAAAGAAAAAATAAAAAAAACGAGAAAATAAACAGAAGAAAAAAGAAACGAATATATAAAAAAGACAAAAACAAAAAATTGTACAAGCTAAATAATGTATTGAAGCAAACTGTAAAAAAAATGCATAACGAGAAACCTTTTTAAAAAACAGAGAGAGAGAAAAAGAATTACGTAACCTTATTAAAATTCAAGTGACATATCTTCACAGCACGAATTCGGT